TAGTGACCATACAAATGAAAACGAATAGCTTAGATCAAACAAAAAATGAAAAATATGACATTTATATAGCTTGTATTATGTTCTACTATATAATGTGCTCCATTTGATGATTGGTATACAATTATAGTGTTTTTTTCTTTTTTATCCTAATTGTTACTTTTTATTGTCATGGAAAACAGGTGTTATATGAAATATAGATAAAAATTGTTAGTTGTATGCTACTAAATTGAAAAACCTTTTAATGATAACAAATTTTTTTCTTGTTTGTGATTATTCAATGAATGGTCTTTTTTAAATCGAAATGTTGGCTGTAACAGAATTTACATGTTTTGTTTTTCTTGTAGCAAATTATGCAACTGATTTGTTATAATAGATATAAAGTATAATATTACACCTGAAATATGTAGATGAAACTTTGAGTTGTTAAACTTATTATAGAGTTAGAAAGTTAATCTTTTGTTTATGCTCTATGAATGTAGTAATAGTTACAAAATCTTGAAATTGAAACCTTACTTTTGCAAAGCAATTTCACTTACACCCCATCGCATTTGATAAAATTTAAAATATATATATTGTTCATAATAAATTAACTAGCTAATACAAAATTTGAGGGTAGTTATAGAATCAAATTATTTTATCTCTTCTAATACCAAATAGATATTTATTTTTGTATTTGAATTGGACTGATTTGTTACTAGCTAATTAGTTATAGGGGAGATTTCCACAATTTTGAAAACCTCAGAGGATGGCAGTGAAACTGTTAGAAACATCAAGGAAGGTTTCTGAAATTATCCCTAAGATGGACACGGGATCTTTTGACGCAAAACGGGAAACTCATGATCTTACATTTAGTCAATCAGGGACTAACGCGTGTCCATATACGGGTGCACAAATCACAAGAATTGATGATATTACCACCAAAAGAGTAAAGACTAAAGAGTTGTGCTTTTGGGGGGGGGGGGGTTGGAAGGGGCTTCCCGTCCCACATCGAAAGATCGTGGGACATTAATCTCTGAATTTAAGGTTCGTAGGTGCTCAGTTCTATCACCAATTGATTGAATCGAGTTACTTTGTGATTTCTCCTTAAATTGTTCTTTGGACCGTTCTTTGATGTCTGCCTGATTGTTGACTGTACCTGTGTGCGTGCGTTCTTAACTCTTGTGAGAAAAAAGAGAGTAAAGACTAAAGAGACACTACTAATTGTTTTTTAAAAATAATAATAATAAATAAAGAGACACTAATAAGGCACGGGCTGGGTTTTATTAACTAGGCGATTGGGCCATACACTAATAATGCCTCATAGATTGACAGACACCCATTAGCTTTTATGAATCCCCACAGTAATAATCATGGGTAAGCGGGCCTAGTCTATGGTCAGAACAATCTAATTGACTTCAATTTTGTCAGAAAAACCTCGTTGATTAGTCAGAAAACTACAACATAATACCGCACTAATTACTCTTGCCTTGATTACTGAGTGATTAGTCTTGTCTGGGGAGTATGCCTGACAATCAAAATAAACTAGTTGTATTGCGGTGTGACTGAAGCCCCCGCGTAATAGATGTCTAAAAACTCCTTCTACTGAAAAAAAAAAAGAAGTCTAAAACTCCGACAAGAAATTTGCAATATTGAAATCTCCTTCCAACCTGATTATTTTTCTTTTTGGGGGGCTCACAAAAGGAAAAACACCTTTGAGCTCTAATCTTCATCTCTTAGATAATATTTACCATCTTTTAGATAATATTTACGACCCTACGAAAATGTGCATGCCTTAAACAGCTAGATCTAACTCATAAAATAAGAGAACAAATATAAACCTAAAGATGTAATCGAATCGAGTCAAGTTCGAGTATTCGATAGTAGAGAGGTATTGCTTGAGCTTAAATTCGAACGAGTAGCAGAAATAAAATTAGAACTCAAACTAGAAGAATGGTTTGAAAACTCAAGATCGACTCGATTATGCTCGATTTTCTTACGAGTATGATCAAGCTCGAGTACTTGACTCGACTAAAAGAATAATTCTGATAATTTATACAATTTTCAAATCTAAAAGAGTAAAATAGTAATAACTAAATATATAATTTTTAATTAATTACTTTGTACTGGATAAGTCTCGACAAGCCATCGGATTTGAAAAATCAATGCTCGAATTCAACTTGAATAATTATCGAAGTACTCGTGCTTGACAAAATTGAGTGTGAGTCATGATTTTGACACAAGTAACTCGATTCAATTACATTTCTATATAGACCTATATAAATTGTCTTTTGTCATGACTAACGATCGCACTTACAATCATTCTCACCTTATCATCCCACCCAACTCTTTCCCCTATAACAAGATTCAACACACCCGCGGTGGGGTGAAGAGGATTCATTGCTTTCTTCACGAAACATATACCTTACATATGTGAGTACCAAGTCTATACGAGTTATTATTAAAACCCAAAAGGAGAGGGGGGGTACTTCTGCCGAGAAAATCGGCAAAAGTAACCTACTTGTTACATCAAGAACCTTAGATGAGGTGAAAGAGTACGACACATCCTGCACGGATCCAAGCACCCATCAAAATGATTGAGGTTTGTAAAGTTAAGATGTTGTGATAAAATAACGGGATAATTTCAGAAACCTCCCCTGAGGTTTCTGACACTTTCACTGACATCCCCTGAGGTTCTCAAAATTTCACTTACCTCCCTTGCTTTTGATTTTGTGGTAACAATCCAGTCCAAATCAGATTAAAATATTATTTTCATGTGTGAGAAGGTATTTTTATTCCATAGCTACCCTTTGCAGAAGTTGTATTAGTAGAAGATTCAAAGAAGAATAAATGATTTGGACTAATTAGTAAAGTTGAGGGGGGTAAGTGCAATACAAAAAATTGCATGCACCAGATGTGCCATGCAACAGTTATTTGGCAGATTTTGCAACGGCTAGCTGCAAATTGCAACGGCCAGAAGGTTTGCTGTTTCAGTAGCAATAGCATATAAAGCAAAGCAACTTAACTACCTCTGAGGTTTCAAGCTATTAACATTCTTTGCTACTAATTTGGAGTGATAACAAGTGCATTTGCTGTGCTACAATTAGAGCTCTGAGTAAAAAGTTTTAGCTGCAACCATGGCCTCTTCAAGCCATAGGGGAGAATCATGGAATTCACCTACATCTTTCTCCATTAAAAACAGGTTTTGCCGCTGTAATCGCAAAGCAACCGTAATGATATCAGAGAGTGAAAGGAATCCAGACAAGTTGTATTTCTATTGAGAAATTTCCAACTTTGTGATGAATTTTAAAAAAATTCTACAAAAGGGGTGATTTTGGGTTTAATTTCCGTCAGGGGGGTCTTCGCATTTGTGAATTTCACAAATGCGAGCTTACAAGAGCTCGCATTCGTGGAATGCGAGCTCTGGTTATTGAGCTCGCATTCCACGAATGCGAGCTCTTCTCAATTTTTTTTTTCCTTTTTTAAGAGCTAGGGAATTATTTCTAGGAAGCAAATGCGAGCTCTTATCTTTTTTATTTTGGTATTTTTTGAGAGGTAGGGAATTATTTGCAGAAAGCTTCTAATTTTTGTTTTAAAAAATGTTGCAAATATTTAAAATTTTGCAAATAGCTCGCATTTGTTAAATTTGACCTGCAAAAATTGTATTTAACTTTTTTTGTTAGATTTCGCATTTATAAGTATGACTTGTAGAAAATTAGATTCAAATTTAGATGTATTAGGGTTTTAAAAATATTATATAAGTGATAAAAATTTTATAAATTGTAAAAATAAAATCAAACTGCTTGGATAATTAAATGTTATATTTGCATAAGAAATAATACAATAATCATAATAATGATAATACAATAATATTGGTGTAATAAAACTGCCATTAATTTAAATATTTACTTATAATGCCCAAAGAGCCTAATTACCAATTTTTTCTTCTCGCGCTCAAATATAACATTAACCCGCATGCGAGCTAACCTTGAAATAGAAAAAACACAGAATCCCGCTTGCGGGTTTCAACGTTATTCTGCGCTTCGTGTGTTTGCTTTTGTTTTGCTTTTGTCTTTTTTTTTCGAAATGGAGGGTTGGCGGTGGAGCTTAGTACGAGCTCGCATTCTGAGAATTGAGTTAAGTTAAGACATAATGATTAACTCAAAAATCCACTTAACAACCAAAATGAATGTTCAATATCAACATTTAGACAAAAGACAGAGGTGGAATTGAGCAACACTAGCAAAGGTGTCATGTAGCTTTTCGCAGCACCAGGAAAGGAAAGTTAAAGGAACAAATAAATTTGTACCTTTCCTGTTGTGTTTGCAACTATTTCAAAATAACAATTAATTCTTCACTTTGTTGCCGCTACTCCAGTGCATATTAGGACCACTGGTTTGATCACAATTTCCTTTCCATTTTTGTTCTTGTTATTTCCTCTGTTTCTTTTCCTATATCCAGAATATCGTATAAGACCACATATAAGTGATCTTATATGTGATCTTGTTATTTCCTCTTGTCAAATCACACTAGGCACAAAAAATGGCGCCAATATTGCAGCTCAATTGGCGCCTTACTCCCAAAATGACTGGATTAATTCATGTATCAGGAATCAAGTTTCTATTATTGTTGTTAAGCTTAATTAATCATATCAGATGCCATTATGTAACTAAACGGTAGTAATTAACCCCAACTACTTGGGATATATCTGTAATTTTGGCCCTGATGACGTCAGAAAAGGGGCCCAATTTTTTATCAAGGGAGGTAAGTGAAATTTTGAGAACCTCAGGGGATGTCAGTGAAAGTGTCAGAAACCTCAGGGGAGGTTTCTGAAATTATCCCTAAAATAACCACAGGATCAGCTCCCTGGAAATGGATTCATCCAAAGATAAGCCAAAAATCCAACTGTCAGATATTTACCCAGTTGCTGCTCCATTAAGTCTTCAGGTTCCAGGACGCTCTGTACATGCCAAACCCAATATCTTCCATCCTGCCTTCATCGTTTTCATGGAGAAACATTCATATGATAAATTAAAAAAGCACTTCAGATATTTTCACCTCTGCGGCTGAGATTTTACAAAAGCCAGAAATACAATAAATACAAAAGTAAGTACGTGAAAACAAAGAAGGCTGAAGCAACATCCCAATGGAAGTCGTCACTATACTGGTTTTAACAGTGAACTTCTCTTTGCAAGACTCTTTTCTTGGGCATATAGGAAACCAGTTGCAAGTTTACAGTTAAAAAAGTGTTGCTACATTAAAAGAATCGACCCCATGCTCCTGTCCTCCTTGGGGACTACCACGTATTCACAAGAGAATGTTGCAACGTACAATGGACAGCAGGCAAAACTTCATCAAGCTGAGCCAACTTCGGTTGGCATGGCACAAGGAGCCAGAGTGTTTAGTGGGAGATTGACGCCACCCCCCTTCACCGATAGATTAGGAATCTTGACGGAGCTGGCTCTGCTCACAAGATGCGAGTCAAGAAACACAACCACCACCGTGATGTCATCGTGGAAATGCCGACGGACTCCGCGGTCAATTTTCTTCAGGTCTGAGTACCTCATTTCCCTCTTTTTTGCTGCTTCTTGTAATGCAGCCTTCACTAACCTCCGAGCACTCCCCTGCGTAAACAAACAAATGCAGTCATGAGTGGAATGAAGTTTCTACATGTTTTATTCTGAACAAATTGAAATTTCTTCACATATTCTGTTCTGAAATCTTATAGAGGCCGGAAACCATGAAAACCCTCTGTACATAAACACATGCAAAAACTGTTTTCAGAGATAGCTTGATGCAAACATATATCCCTAGAGAACACCATTTACGGAGCTTTTCACATTTAGGGCAATGTACGAGGAAAACCAGGTTCACATGGAGCTTGATTAGAAAAGTCAACGTCATAACAAAATGACTATCCAGAGAGTAGAGAAGATCAACTGCCAGAATGGGCTAAGCTCAGCAAGGACATTCATCTTAAACGATTTGACTTGTGAGTTGTGGCATAATTCTGTAACCTTGACCAAATTCTAAATAGCAGCTGTACATAACAACTTGACACAACTCAAACTTGACTCCCCTGACTGCAATATCCAATCTTCACAAGAATAAAGATTTATAGTCAGCATGCTTTTAGTGCTTTTGAAGTGTTTGCTCTCTTACATTTCGTGGATGATTTTGAACTATATCAACAGCCTCCTGGTTACTGAGGTGTTCCCAGAGACCATCAGATGCAAATATGATGAATTGGTCATGTGATTGCAATTGTTGCACTGAGATTGATGGTTCTGAGCTCAGTATTGGTCTTCTAAATGGTTCACGAAGTCGGAACTTTGCATATAATGGCTCCCTGTTGAATTCAGCCTTTTTTAGATAAACATCGCCAATAGATCTCGAAACCTGAAAAAATGAAACATTTGGCTCATCTAAGAATGCCAATATTATATGATGCATCATACAGAAGAACCGTACATAGAACATGAGTGCATAGCTATACAACATGAATCAATTTATCTGCTCAAGGGCATTCAAGCTCCAAAGTATAGGTTCAAACCAATCAGCACTTGCAAAGTATGATCAGACAATCACATAATTCCAAAAAAAAAAAACAAAAAATTTGCACCAGGTATCTGTGTGGGTGAAGGACAGAGATAAAATGGGCTCCTTTCATTCCATTATTCCAGTATCAAGGACAAATTTTATTTAATTTCCATATGACCTTAATAGCTTTACTCCACTAGTAGACACAACATTAACCTACATTCGAAGCTATACCAAAAAGTGAAGTATGTTGTGTGGGTGACTAGATCAGATAGCCCACATTGAATAACACATGAACTAGAAGGTTGAAACCCCTAAATCAGCAAAAATCACAAGTGGTTCTTCATGCAGTAACTAAAGAGTATTCTGTGGACCAGAAAATATCAAGAAATGGCTAAAAGTCATAGTTTTCCACTGAATTACAAGGCATACCAAACTTTCAGCAGATAAGATAAGTAGACTTCCCAGGACAAAATTAAATAAATGCGGAGAATGTCAACATTAATTCATCTTGCACCAATCAAAACATGCTTTTTCTGGCTAGGGGGAATAGTCATTTAAAAGGTACAAGTCATTTGCTCCATTTTACTCATCTACAGACCCCAGTCTTCAGAAACATGTGCAAATAATTAGTCGCATGATATGATCTATACCTTCTTAAAGAGCAAAAGTATGCAATATGCATCAAGTCCGAAACCTTCTTACTCAAGGAAGATAAATCAAGCAATGAGGACAGTCATATGGCATATATAATTGCAATGAACATCCTTAAAAAAAATTGAAAAAAAAAAGGGAAACACTAAGTTGTAATTCGAAAAAACAATTTATAGTTATATTAAGCTTTATCCAAGCCCCAGGATTCAAATATACACTGAAAGATGTTGAAGCAATTTCTGTGGCTAAGAAATTCACAAACACAATGGTATGCATATTTCTAGTAAACAGGCCACTAAACAAAAACAGCATGGAAAGACAGGTACAAGCACGGGACTGATGCATGGACCACCAAGTATGCGTTACAACAAGTAAACCAATTTCACCCCCTCCCCACCTATCCACCCAAAATCACTAACACTGAGGGGCAAAAGGAATCAAGCAACATAATCATCTCACCTGGATGAGGCCCTTTACTCGCCAGACGTTATGCTTTAGAACAACTATGTGTGAGTCATCTGGGTGCAAAGAATGCAGCTCCTGCCTCACAGACTCAATACTAGCATTATGCTCAGAAGACAGCTGAATAGGCAGCACTTCCCCTGTGGCCTTGACTAATCTCCCCAAAACAGCTCGGGAGTCACCAAGGTTGGCAATATAAAGGGTCCCACTGCAGATTATTCCAACCAGACAGCAGGATCCAACAGCTGCAATCTGTGGCTTCATTGGCCAATTCCTTGTGACAACAGAGATAAAACCCTCTTCAGTAGCTTGGAAAGCCTTCCGTATTACCTCCACAGATATAGACTGTTGCTCAGAAGTAAACCCTGTGCAATCACAAGTTAGTTGAAATTGAAGCCTAAAACAACCTTTATAGAGCAAAAACTGGCGGCAAGCTTGAAGACATTTGAGATTTTTATTTCCTTGCAATAAAATTTATGTGTACAGTGAAACCAGTCAAACTGAAATGCTTAAAGACATCTTGATTCTACCACTATTGTGTTAAATTCAGAATCTAAAAGAGTGTATTAACATCAATATCACTTTTTACCCTAATAAGCAAGAGCTAAATTGTCACTTTAAAATTCAGTTCTAAAAGGAAATTATCAAATGATCACCCCACCAAAAATAAAATAAAAATAAAAAGAAAAAAAGAGGAAAAAGAAAAGCAAAATAGAAATAAACAAACAAATAGTGAAGCTTGTCCCACTCTAACCCTGCCCGATAGAGTTGTAATAATACAAATCAATTTCATGCACTAAATCCTTCTAAATATCAGAAAATCTCAAGCGACTTACTCTTGAGATGCTGAAAAAGGTGTTCATTGATGAACCGGGACGTCTCAGGGCCACCATGCCCGTCATAAATCCCCACGAAGGTACCATGAGGTCCTGAATCAAGCAAGCTCAAGCAGCCTGATTCAAGTTGGCTCTGATCCTCAAGTAAATTATTAGCCTGAACTACAGCCATGGAGAACTCTCCATTAACATGTTGCCCTGTATCCTTATACCACAAAAGCCCGTCTTGACGACCAATGGTATCTGAACCTGAATGAACATATCGATCTGTTCTTGGCCGAAAGCAGGCCCTCAAAAAGTTCATTAACCCAGATAACATACCTCATCTCATCCAAAGCACCCTCTCAATTATCCACATCTAATGAGGACTAGAGGCAACACTTTTGATCCGAGTAGACCTCAATTCTTTACCACTTCCTCCAATTTAGCAATACGTTATGTACTCTAAAAGCAAAATAAAACAAACAAAATCAGAACTTGGCAATCACAATGTAGGCGTGGCAGTCCATAAGTGCAATAAGTAGATTTTCTAAGGTCTGTAATCGATGCAGCTGAGAAATCCACCGAAAACTAAAGCAACAAAAGCTGCATACGTGCAGCCGAACTCTCTTATTCATAACGAAAACCCATCCCCAAAACAGCCGCAGAAAATGAAAAAGCCAACTTCGTCACGAGAAGCAGTCAGTTTGAAGAAAGCATCAGTAGTCAAAATTTACTTTTACTTCGAATAATTAGCCGGTTTTTCCAAGCAGTTGGAATCCAGAATGTCCAGCTCTCCCAAAAAATACACTAGTAGTAGTAAGCAAACAAGTGAATCAAATGAAGACCCCGCCCCAGGAAAAAGCAACAAAATACTGGTAATAAGTTTCTAAAATCCCAAAAAATGAAATTCTCCAGTTCAACAATTCAATTGACACGAAACAGGAAATAAATATAGCCCAGTTGTCAATTAGGCTAAAAAAACTTACCTTTAGAGCTGAAAGGGGAAGATCTGAAAGTGAAGGAGGTTAGATCTAATGATCCATCAAAATCCAATCAAATATCAAGTGGGTTCTGATGGGTCTTTTGTTTTTTTCTTGGGCATGAGAAAGATTGATGATGACGACGACGACGACGACGACAAAGTGCTATGAGGGGAAGGGACTTAAAAAAGGAAGATATTGATACACAACTACTTATGAATAAAGGGAAAGAGAGAAGCCAGCCAGCCACTAAAGAAGTACTAATAGTGGTCTATTAGCAATCCCAAAAGTAGAAAAATGGTTTTGATTGGGGCAACTGAAACTCTGGTCTCTCTCAGCAGCAGACAAGCGCCATTAAAAACCAACAATGGAAAACTTGAAGCCAGCAAAGCAGAGAGGACCAACTTGGGCTCCACCCCCAAAACCCAATGTTAGAGAGAGAGAGAGAGAGAGAGAGAGAAAATCTAGCTAGCCTAGTCCTAGTCTAGCAGCACCCAATTTGTTCCTCTGCATCTGCAACTGATAGAAATTTAGTAACATGTAGTAATTTACTGTACTCCAAAACCCCGAAAAGAAAATAAAAGAAAAGAAAAGAAAAAACTCCAAGTCTCATTAATAACATAACAATATTTATCACTCATGTGACCCATTGGTGGTGATTATACATCCGCGACAGAAAGAGAGTCAATTGGTGTTTATCTGAATGGATAAAATAAGTCGGAGCCAACTTACCCCTTTGATATTTCTTGGCAATGTTCTCACGTTATGCCACGTTGGACCTTTGCTACAAAACTCCTGCCGAATTGCCAAGCCGGTCCTTATATTATTATTTCACTTCTATGGCAAGTAAGTTTTTAGTCAACCACTGGCTCTGTGGGTTACTTAGGAAGCGGCCTGAGTTCCTCCATTGGACTAAGGGTTATGTCAGGATCTTTTTTGATTCTAGTTGAATTTGTATGTTAGGGTGATAATTCTGACACGATCGAAAATACGAACAAACGAGATCTAATATTAAATTAATGAATTTGGAGTTAAGATTCGAGAGTTCGGCGTCAAATCCGATGAACTTCGAAAGAAAACAGTTGTCAATTTCGCGCCGCTTTTTTATTTCTCTTGCAATGTATGCCAAATCATCAATCATGTGTCTTCTTATAACAAAGGCACGTAAGCTCATCTCTAATTCGCCCACATCCAACATTTCATGATCTAAAGGCCTGTATTTCATCTTTTTACATCATTGTTTGGTCGTATTGCATTCCGCAGTAAGACGACAATGACACTGTATGTATTTGTGTTGCCGTTAATATAAATTGATCCACCGCTTCCTGCAGGGGAAAGAAAGAAAAACAAAAATCTCATGGTAGAGACCTGTAGCACGAGTTCAGTGAGAGCACACTATTGATAGTTGATACACCAACAGGAAGCAGATGCGTAGAGAACACAGTCGAGAATTTGTTGTTGAAAGGTTGGGTTGGGTATGAATTAGGCAAGGGATGTGAAGGAGCCAGTGAGACCAATAAATACTGCAGTACTGAAGGATGAAATTAATAATGGTGGTGTACTTTCAATATTCATTCATGTGTCCTTCACCTTTTGCTTGAAGGCTTGTCTGGATGATGATCATATGATAATAAAATGTGAAATGCCTGTTGCCTCGGTTTCTACTTGTGAAAGACAAGCAGTAGTCAAAACTGGGAATGCCAAAAGCTTACCACCACATGAACTGATCGTGATCAAACGAAATCTTGGGGTCGGACTATCATTGCAGCTCGTACTACTAGTATTCCAATTCCAGTACTACAAACAAACTGATTCTGGTCGAATAATTGAAAGGGTGAAAAATTTTGAGGAGGGTTATAGAAACGTTATCGTTACGATAAAAAAAAAAAAAGAAAAAATGTTGAGGAGGATAGGAGAAGGGAGATATGTCCCCTCACCCAACATTAGAGTATGTAGTTTGGGGGATGACTCGCGAATGGACAATCACAGTCCCATCGATCGGGTGGTTGGGGCGGATTCGCCTCCCCTCACCTTCCCTCCTTCTTTGGTTCAATACTGCCTCCTTCTTTGTTTGTACTAGAAGACAAAGAAGAGAGGATTGAGGTGGGCTCAGTGCAAGTATATATGTGCATGCGGCATCAGCACATCCTCATCTTCTTCCAGTTCCAGGACGTCCCAACATTAACGTCCAAGCCAATTAATCCCACTCCCCACCGCCCTCCATCTGCTAATTCCTCCCTTGAGCACTTTTTTGTTTTCCCCTACTGCATTTAATGTTTTAAAAATAGTTAAAAATATTGTCTTGAATTATTATGGGACGGTGTCATCGACCTTTGGAGTTCCTTTTCTAAACTTATGTGGTCCTTGATTGAATCATTCAGCAATCAGATTCAGAAATTGCTGATGAGGGCATGATCTCGCGGAAGACTAGCTCCTCGAGCAAATTATAAACCACAGGATGAGCCCGTTGATGCAGGATTGCATTGCAGCAACCTACTGCTACTGCTACTGGGGTTGACCCCAATAATACTCAACAAAAGTGAGGCTGTTGCCATGCAGAATATGCAACAGCGTTGCTGCTGGGGTCGTCAAGCAAATTAATAAGCCCGTTGAATTTATGAAAACTTTGAGTCGTGGGGCCTTTTGTACGTTGGAATGGATAATACAGTATCGAAAATGATTTTGTGATAGAGCACGACACACGACTTAATTATCATGTTTCCTTTTCCTTATCTTAACCATCGCAGGATTGAAGATGCATGGTGGCCTCCAGCATCCAGGGATAAAAGTATACTACTCCAGCGTATAATGCTCCTTTACCTGAATCACTCACGACTCCCATTTATATATGTATGTGTGAGTGTGTAATATGATACATGGATCTCCATTCTTCAGTCAGCTGAGGCCAAAGCATGCACTAATTAATGTCCGACTAATCGTCTATTAGTACTAGTTTAGTTCACGCTGTGCTGTGCTGTATTAAAAATGGCGGCCCCTGAATTACATTCTACGTTTCTGAGCTTTTACAGCAGCTCTGTTACAGATGCAATGAGTATTTCCCGTCTTTGCTCTAGATGAGCACTTTCAAGCCAATTTATATGTATCCCTTTCTAATAGTACAGTACTTTTACATTCGTGACGCATGCCTATGTTGAATCCCAAATATAAGAGAAAGTAGGCAACCATATCCTTTCGAATTTGATTTTGATTAAGGGTTATTATCACGTTATCTCCTTAAAGTTTAGTACTACTATCAATTTTTTCTTTAACATTATTTTTTAGTCATTTTACCCCCAGAATTAATGGTCAAACTTAGCAGAGTTTGTTAATTCAAGTAAACAGACATCTTTAGCTCTTAAAATTATCATTATTTCTTTATCCCCATAAACTATAGCCTTATTATCAATTTACCCTTAGAGTTATGTTTTAGACAATTTATTCCACCGTTAAATCAATTTAGCAAGTTAAAAAATTTTAGAAGAAAGTACCCTCCTCTTAGTATAATAAAAATAATAAAAAATTTGGAATGACTCTTCTCTTTTTTAGCATAAAAAAAAAGAGTCAGAGCATTAATTTCTTTCTTCTTGACAATCTTATTAAATATTGAAAAACATAGAAAGGTCGAGAGGGGGAGAGATAGAGAAAGAGAGAGTCTTATTTGTATTTTTTTTTTAAAAAAGTACAAATAAGAAAGAATTCAATATTTTTATTATTTTAAAATTACTTTACTTTTCTATTTATTACCTAATTCCAATGCTACTCCCGACAACATTAAAGTAATACAATAATATTAGGTTCTTCCTTATTTTCTTTCTTTTCAAAATCTAATTTTTGTCTCCTACTCTCCTATCTCCTTTTCTTTTCCTAGCATTAATAAGTGTGAAAAAGAAATTTGAGAAAATTCTTTTATTTTTATGTTTTTGGAACTCTTAGAGTGAAAAAAATGAAGAAAAACCATTCCAAATTTTTATTTTTAATTATATATAAAAATGTTAAATACATTAAATTTTTTTTGAATATACTGGTTAGGTTAACAATGGAGTAAAACACCTAGTAAATAATGTTATAGAGTAAAATGATTGTATCACTATAATTTAAAGGAATAAAGTGATAATAACAATGTAGTAATGCTATAAAATAAAAGGGTAATTTTGTCCAAAATTTGTTAATATGCCGAATTGAATTACCTATTGGCATAAAATGACTAAAAGAATAGCGTTAGGGAATAAATTGATAATAATAATATAATTTAACGGGGTAAAGTGATAATAATCCTACTTAAAAATGATAATTTTTATGCTGTAGTAGTGTGAATTTTTATTTATTTTTTTGTTTAACCATCAGTCCTAATTATACGTACACACATGTTCAAATTAGGAAAAAAAATAAAAATCATGTGTAGCTGTTCTATCACTAATGCAAACGAGATCATGCATTATACATCAAAGCTTACAAATGTATAAAAAATATTTTACTACAATATTACTAGCATAGGAAACATTAATTGTTTCTAATTGGTTCCATGTATTGAAGTTGAAGATTCTAATCGAAAAAAAAAAGAAGAATGAGTGATAGTAAAAATAAAACCTTCCCAATTGTAAACACACATGACGTACGCCGTGATGCATATTGTGAACTTGCAAAATTTTGAATTCTTTCGGCCCCAACAGTCCAATGTAGGATTTGTTATTACGGTCGGACGAATATTTATGACTTTTCCTCTTTCAGTAGTCAGAAGAGATATTACGACGTAAGCTCATACGAACAAATCTTCAAATTTCAATCCAAAACGTGTTTGGGTAGAACCCTGCCACGGGGAGACCACAATATGAATCTAATTGTGGGTCCCTTAAAAATTATTTTTTTTTGATGAAACGTTTAGATGGATTCGATTCCAATCATCACCACGAGTCAGAACATGCCTTCAAAATCATAGATTCCTTACAGAAGTTCTTACAAATCACTCACCAACACAGCCTTCATATAGACACAGCACAATTCCAACACACATCATTTGTGAGGATACAACTTATCATTACCAACTTGTGTTGTCATTGCTTCTCTAACCATTTCAATGCATCTCAATTTTTGAGTTCAGTTGTGGAATCTTAGACTAATGATAGACAACTCATTTTGGAAAAACAATTGGGAGGGATGGGGATCTTCCACGTAGTTAGTTAGTTAGTTAATTTGTGATTGGATTAATTAATCTTGGCCCATCAATTTTCAGTCTTTGAATACGGATTTGGTGATGTTGAAGTTGCTTGTGGCTTGGATACACTTCATCATGCTGTTGCTGTTGGTCCGTTCAAAATTATTATTATTTTTTGGGTAATGAAAAGTTTGGATAGATTCGATTCCGATCATCACCACGAGTCAGAACGTGTCTTTGGAATCACAAATTCCTTACAGAAATTCTTATAAATCGTCAATTAACACAGCCCTCACACGG